GTACCCTATTGATCAATCACCAAACAACATTGGTACCTTGAATCATATTCTCAATCTTCATATTAATCTGCGATTTTTACAGGTCAAGGCAACCTGAGTGGTATACAACTACGCATCTCAATAAATCAGTAGTGTTAGATAATTGGAGGCAATCGGCAGGAAACCTTGAACTTAGGTTTCGTGCTAGTTGGCACTCGTCAGCTAATATTATCAAATCAATGTGCGCCTTGATGGTGAGCTACATAAAATGGGGGCCACATTGCAAAACCTGACTGATAGAATTCAGTCTGTAGCAGACAAAGGACTAGACACGTGACACTAGCTACTAGTGTCCAGTCAAAATCAGTAGTATATATGGTTCTATGGAAACACTGGTTTCTCACTACACTTTTAGAATACAATTCCTCTGAATATTCACTCAGTGTATTTTTTGATTCGAGTTACTCAGGAATGCACTTTTTTTGGCTGTTTTGATTGAATATTCAGACTTCTTTCCCCAGCAATTGTCTCCAAACCGAAATCACAGTCACTGAACTGAAACATTTGTAATCTCCTTGATCTACTTTTTTCAATCTATTTTCTCACTTGTATGTAAGTGGAGTGTGAAGACCAAGCTGGATGGCTAATGTAATAATATTGAACGGACACTTAGGTACCACTTCTTCACATAACCGCCGACCAAAATCTTCTGCGAACGAAGTGGTTGAATAGCCAGTTAATAATGGCCTTTCAGTCAAGTAGTCTTGGATATTACTCACCACAGAAAATGCTCACCCTACAGTTTATAGTCTTCTAAATCAATGTTTCTCAGATTTCGATTTCTTAATTCTATATAATAATTCACTATAAAGTGAGTTATCTGATTAGACACAAACATTTGTTTTACTGACGCCCTTCTCAGTTTCGCGGTGGTTATCAATCCTGACTGTCAACTGACAATGCTTTTTACTCAGTAAAATATACAGGCCTTTTGTCCTTGTGTCTGGCGTGTGATTTAAATTTCAGTAACAAGGTGGTTAAAACTGTGTTTTGCTCCTCAAAATGTTAATTCTTAGATGATACAGTTCGGTGTAATTAATCCAGCTGTTGGAAATACACTAGATGCTGTGCGAAAATAATGAACACTACCCTAAGTTATCAGCGCCTGTTGTAGATTAGTACTAGTTTTGTGTGCAAAGTAATATATTTCTATTAGTGGAAGGTCAGACAGATAGCACAAAGCCACCCATAGTGTTGATGCAACTCCCTAAATAGGTGAAGTGGTCAACACACTCAGCCACCACTTCACTACCTATCTTTAAGCTAGGAATTAGTCACTGTTGTTGTTCAGTCCTGTAGCATCATCTCACATTCGACAGCAGAAGCGAATCGAATGCCAACCATTCGAAGACTGATGCTCAAGGTGTTGAGAAGACTCTGCATTTTGTCGGCGTCTTCACCTAGGAGCCGGACTATATCATTTGCATATCCTAAGTCAATGAGATTATTGCTTGATGGTAACAAGTCAATCGCTGACTCGCTGAAATCAGTCACGGTTAATTCCATTAGTACATCTATGGTGATGTAATTTCCCCCTTCACAGCCAAACATTGCCACAGCACCACTTTGTCGACGGGATCGAATGACGCCTGCAGGTCAAGAAATATGACGTTTGTTGGACGCCGATCGTAAGCATGTCTTTGTTCCAGAATCCTCCAAAGGGTGAAGACATGGTCAATACACCCTCATCATGATCCAAAGCCTGTATGGTTGCATCGCTTTTGATTTCCAGACTATCGCTGAGGTCAAGCATGTCCACTGAACCTAGGATGTTTTATAGTATGTATAACAACCTGATCTCCCTATAAATATCCCAGAGATTTGTCTCCTATCATCACTCTCGAAGCTCGTGGGAATAATTCGTTTAAAGTCTCTCAGTTCGAGTGAGGTAATAGAAATCCACTAACTTCTGGTTTTAGGTTACTAACAACTCCAGCCAACGATTGCATGTCGCTGTGTGGTCTATTTGAGTCCAATGTTGACATGGTGATGGAGGTTAGGCAATGTCTCTCTTTGTGCTCTGAAGTTATTTCTGATTATGAATAGATGATTATCTGAACAGAACTGTAGAAGACGATCACCGTCGTCGGTTCATCGGCAGGGAACTTCATACTTGCCACCTCCATGCTTCTCAGTCTGACACAACTTCTCTACTTGAGCATTGAAGTCGCCTGCTAAAACGACTATGTCTCAGAGTTTGGCATTTTGCAGTAAACTAGACAATTTTTTGAAGAAATTATCCTTTAATTCATCCGAACTGCAGTCAGTTCGGGCGTATGTAGACAGTATGAAAAGACATCGACGGGTGACGCGGTCCTTCCTTCTTCTAACGGATCCACTCAGACGGACGTAACACACACGACTATCGACGGGGATGTAGTCGACAAGTGATTTTCCCGCCCAAACACTAACGAGTCGTCAAGAACTAGCTGAAGAATCTTTTGATAACCCTATAGTGAATTTGGCAGATTCACAGTTGTCCCTCTGGGATCAAGTGAATAACCACATTAGGCTCTGAAACACAACATACATCCATGGTTCGAGTGTTAGAGTTCTACTTAATGGTGCCTGATTTCCGATTCGTCAGTGTCCTAACGTTAAATGGTTCAATGTGAAGTCGGCGGCGTGTCTTTAAGAGGCTATTGAGGATTTTTCCTGGCTCTTATCGTCACTTGTGGTCACCACTATACTTCTCAGTATGTCCTAACTTTCCTTTTAGGGCATTGAAATCGCTTTTCGGTAGGAATAATCCTTTAATTCATTCGAACTGCAGTCTTTTGGGGCGTATGTAGACAGTGTGAAAAGACATCGACGGGTCACGCAGTCCTTCCTTCTAACGGACCAATTCAGATGGACCGTATACATGCATTTACCTGTTGGCATCCAGACAAGGAGTGATCTTTTCACCCAAGCACCCAATGCTATCTCTACACCTGCGAATCCTTTCGAACTAGCTGAAGTGTCTCCTGAGAGCCCTTAAGTGAATTTCGTAGATTCACCTTGTTGGCCGGGTGAGGTGAAGTAAATGAATGCACTCGGATGTTGTTTGCGTGTCTCCGAAACTTAACGTACATCCATGGCTCGAGATACCAGATTTGTTACTAGTGAAGTCTGCTGTCCGATTCGGTTGATGGTCGTGACGCTATATGCTTCAATATGTAGTTTTCATCGTGGCTTTAAGAGGCTGTCTGTCGGTGGTGTTTCTATGGCTCTCATCGTTGTTTTTGGTCACATAGTGAAGTGAAGATGACTCACTAGGGTGTACGATGATGAAGGTGATGTGGGTATATTAGAATGATGCTCAGGAAGGTTTCGAGTGCCCTTTTAAGTGTTAAAACGGTTTCTACTTCCCGACTTCCCACACCGTGATAGTTACTTTTTCTTGAGGTACCTGGTAAATGAGAGGGAATTGTTGTTGCGTGACCACAGGGCCCAGGGAACAACTGCTTGAGGACGCTCACCCATGGCCTGTCTGAACTGGCTTTCTGGTTTGGTTCTGTATTAGCAACTTAACGCCCGCTACGGTCTACTGTGGGTTAAGTAGGGAGAAACAACTTTCGCAGTCGACCTTTTCTAATCCCTTTTCTCTCCAGAATGGGGAGACATCATAGCTTGCATGTTGTTCCATAGCTGTACCGCTGTTCCCCAGTGGTACGACTTTGCCCACATACCACCATCACAGTGTGTTATGGATATAGAGTTTTAAATCTAATGAATTTCGTTAAGGGGATTACATCTGAATTCTAATAAAGTACTTGACTTTTGTCAACTTTTCTTAATAAGAGTGATGAGAATGTACCATATTATTTGTGACCTCTTATTGTAGTGTGTCTAAGACTGGCTTTATGTTGCTGTAGGACTAATTTTTCTTCCTGACGAACTTATTGTTATGTATTTGGCTTTGCACATATAGTTACTGTATTTATTTTTGTCTCCATCATAGTCCTCGTCGTTAAGTTACTATTTTAACCGTTGAAAATAGTTTTGTTTGATGCACATCCTACGATTTCTTCCCAGCTGGGTCAACTTTATATGTCCTCTCATTCTGATGAGTTTCGAAAATCTTCAGAATATTTATAAACCAGAGAATGCAGTTAAATAATATACCTGAAAAGGCCTTCAAAAAGGAACAGTGAAACTCTAAGTGTGGTGATTTTAAACTATTCAGTACGAATTAAACGGTAGACAGTCTAGTGATTTCAACACAGTAGTCCATATTGAAGAAAGTGCAAAGTCTAAGACAGTAAACGATTAAACAAAAATGTATCTGCTATCTGCCAATCTTATTTCTGCCTATGTTAAGAAAAATAAGGACTAATTCTCCTTTAGATATGATAGTGAAGATTTGTAGCTCAGGTGGATGATTTTGATGTGGTTTTGTTCTCCGAGCTGGATGGTTAGTTTGCGAAGCTTTCATCACCTTACTGGATGACATCTTCAGCGCATACTTCATACTTCTCCTTCCTTATTATATTTAAAACAGTAAGTTGAAACATCAATGTGTGTTAATACTTAAGAAGATAATTCATATGTCGTCAAATCGATTGAAAAAAAGTGATAATGATGTGATTCGATTTAAAGATGAAGAATTATTGAGGTTACAAATAAGCACTATCAACTTTTGCCATGTGCCGTGAACATGTTGTAATCAAGTAGATTAAGAATGCTAAAGTTTTGTGAATCGTCGTGACCAACCAAGCGTGTGGCAACTAAGCAGATTGTATGCCTTTTTATTACTTTACTTAAACTTCATGTTACAGATATGATGTTGCTAGCCTGTCCGAATACTTCTGATAGCAACCCTGTGTAAGAAAATGCCAACTAATACTGTAAGACAGAGGAATTTCATGCAACCTTATGAATGGGTAAGAATTACTGCTAACATAATGTAATCCGAAAAATAATTTGATATATTGCATTGTGTACAATAAAAATTTTCTTCTGCTTTTCGTTTATCATAGGAGAGCATAATACTCGTCAACATTCTGGTGATGAATATATCGACGATTTAACTCCAGAGGAGATTGCCAAGTATAAATTAGAGATTAACATGGATGTAAGCATCTCCATCTATCTAAGTATTTAAAAATTGTTTTTACATTATCTTTTGCAATGATTACGTGCTCTTTAAAGTACCAGTACGTATTGATATATCGACTGTGGTGTAGTGGCAGTATTATCTGTTGATGTAAAAATATGTTTGGTTAAAGACATAGAAGTTCAGGTCAATGTCTGACTTGATTAATAAATTTCTTACTAACTTGGGTAGCGTACACCCATGACTCAATCTGAGATGGAATCCAGAATTCATAGATTACAAAGTGAACACATAAACATTCTATCACTCGATTGCCAGATGAATTTCTATCTTCAATCAACAAAGCATGAAACCAAAAATTAACATCAGACTTGGATTCATCGATCACACGTTGACTTGCACGCTTCATGGACTGAAGTTGTCGAGTGAGTTTTAACAGCTAATCATCTGTTCTGTCTTCCTATGTTTGTAGTTTTGCAATTTATTTGATAAGACACATATTCTGTTAGTGCAGCAGTGTCAAATGACCATATATATCACGCGAATTATATATATATATATATGTATATATATATAATTCGCGAGATAGCTTGAAACTATGATTGATTTAAGTGTATTACGTGTGTGATTAGTAGCTGGGTCCCCTTGATGAACATACTGGTTATCCGTAGGCCGCTACCTCGGATGCTTCTGTGGCGCAAAGTGCCTTTTAAAGTTATCTTCCTCCCTCCACCAATTGCAATCAGTTCAAATTCTACCTTACCTAATCTGGTAAGTATCAAAAGCTAGCTGGCTCTCGACTAAACTTCTAGTTAAATGTATTGATAAACACCTACCTACTGGATAATCCAGTGGCATTGTTAATATGATCACTACACTTGAAAACTTCTTGTTTGCCTTATACTCGACAATTGTCTGGTTTGAACACCGGTGGATGCGTGGTGCTGAAGAATCCAAAACTCAGCCTCCAGTACGCCCTGGTTTCCTAGTTGTGGTCGATCTGATGTTGGCTCGCGATGAAACATGTATGTAAATAAGTTTTTAAGAGTTATTTTATACGGATTTGACTGCTGTTAGTTTGATCACCGAATTATATCAGTTAGAGAGCCATTGAAAACCAGAGAGTACTAAACTTTACAAATCGATTTCCGCAATTAAAATTTCAGAAAAAAAACAACATATTGAGCAGACAAATATATTCCTGTTTTTTATTAGTTCCTCATAGTCGGCTCCACACTAATTTATAGTATTTTACATCAAAATCATCCACCTGAGCTACAAATATTCTCCATCATATCTACATCAAAATGTTCTTTTTTACCAACCAAGTGGTTATTTTAGTTAATCAGTTTTAGGTATAGGCGGGGGTGAAATCAAGAGGTTAAAGGTCATCACAACGAATAACTAATAGATGTTAGTAACAAGATATATAAGTTTTAAAAAGAGAGGTGAAAATTAATTATGGAATTCAAGATTAGTTGGTTCTTTGGCGTTGGCAACAAGCTATTACGTAATCCAGATATTCGCAAAATAGCAATGATCGAGTATTGGTTTTGTAGGGATTTTGTTTGATTGCATGGAGGATTTAATCATGAGCTGACATCAGTTAGAGAACCACTGGAAAACCTGGGAGTACTGGACAGCTGTTTCGTCCCAGAAGGTCCTGGGTTCGAATCCCGGTGGGTGCGTACTGCTGAAGAGTCCCGAACTAGGACGAAACAGCTGTCCAGTACTCCCAGGTTTTCCAGTGGTTCTCTAACTGATGTCAGTTCATGATTAAATCCTCCATGCAATCAAATAGCAGTCATGACTAAGAAGAATAGGATGGCTCAGAAGAGTTATGTAAACTAAAAACAAGTTAATAGAATGAGCTAGAATTGTAAAGATTAACAAAGTCAAAAGATAGTTACACAAGGGGAGGAGAAATTGTTTTCAAAAACTTGATACATGTTATGTAGTTGACCATGGCAAAGAAAGGGGCTGTACAAATCTCTTTTGCACACATAGATTTCGCTTGTTCAGATAAATTCCGATTCCCTTTATTTAAAAGTTGATTTAGGGCAACTTTGGTTGATTGTTGTTACAATAAATGAATGGTAGAAGTAATACAAATGAGTGTTTTAACGAAAAGGCATCAAGTGGCTGTAAATGAATTGAAAGCAAATGAAAATATAGTGATCTCCAGACCTGACTAGCTCAAGAGTCGTTATCATAGACAATTCTGATTACTTTAGCAAAATGAGTACTTTATTAAGAGATGCATACAAATTTCAGAAACTTACAACCAATGAACGAAATATTCCCATATTGAGTCGTAAGAAAATGACACAAACAGCGAAGAAAGTTTTCTTTTCGACGACTGCCTAAAATGCATAGAGAGAATGTCCCACTTCGACCGGTCATAGACATGGTTAACTCACCATATCACCAAATCGCGAAGTGTCTAGCTGATATCCTCGAACCAGTTGAAAAACATATGACAAAATATAACTTCAAAGATACATTTGACTTCTTCGACTCAGTGAAAGATGTCAACGTGTATGAAAGACAAATGATCTCACTAGATGTCGCCTCTCTATTCACAAGTATCCCCCTTACTGAAACATTATGCTTCATTTGTAATTACATCGAAACCAACAACATAGAAGTTCCTCTCCCCATAAACTACCTGGAAGAACTTCTCAGATGTACGTTCAATATCCAGTTCAAATTCAATGAATTATTCTATGTACAGAAAGATGGAGTAGCCATGTGGTCCCCTCTCGATCCACTCCTAGCCGACTGTTTCATGGCGAGTCTTGAAAACAACATCCTTGATCTCTTGATAAGTAAACTGCACTTATACAAGAGATACGTAGATGATACGTTTATAATCTGTGATGAAAAATGTGATTTAGATTCTCTCCTCAAAACCTTCAACGCAGCGCATCCATCAGTAAGATTCACCTTAGAACGCGAATCGAACAACTCATTTCCATTCCTCGATGTACTACTCACCAGAAGACACAACTGTACGATCCAAAAATCGATATACCGTAAGCCAACATGGACTAGACAGTTAATCAACTTCCAGAGCTTTGTTCCGCTGATCCGGTAGAGAAACTTGGCATGTACATTGTGCTCAAGGATTAGAAAAATCTGCTCGGGAGACACGGTAGAGAAAGAATTAAATTTATTGCGTGAAACCGTACTAGAGAACGGGTATCCACCAAGATTCATCGACAAAAACATGAAAGAGAAGCCTCCGGTGTCAAATATCACAACGGTTCCTAAGAAGACTCTCTTCATGAACCTAGAATTCAAAGGTGATATCGCAGCGGAAATTATCAGAGACCGCCTTTCAAAAAGTCTGAAGAAGACATTCCCAACAGGCACTCTACGTTTAACATCTTCCTGCAGACAGTTAATCCAGTCTAACGTTAAGGACAAGATACCGCTTTTGGCCACTTCAGTGTGTATTTATCAATTTACTTGCTCGTGTGGAGTAAAGTATATCGGCCGTACGCAACGTGAAGTCCACAAACGTATCCTGGAACACTGCCGAGCTTGGTTAGCCAGAGGAGAAAAGAAGAATAGCAACAGCTCAGTCCTCGAACACCTTTTCATCTCCAGACATTGAGCACCCCCACATGAATGCTTCACAGGGGTACACAGAGTCCCTCAGTATTGTACAAAAGGACTCCGCATACGACATCTGTACATAGCTGAGGCATTAGCTATTCGAGACCTAAAACCGGACCTGTGTATACAAAAACGACACATACATTCTCTGGCCCTACCATGGCCAGAGAAAATTTCTTATTATAATTTTGCTCCTCTCTTTTAATATGTAAGTTCACTATTATTATTTTATTATTATTATTACTGTTCTTAATGCTTTTATTATTATTACTATTCCCACCATCCACATTTCATTACCACTCTATTACTGTTTATTGATAACATTGCTTTTTCACACAGATCTTATACAAAACTACTTTATAGCCTTTCCATTAGTTCCTGTCCATTTTACAGTAGCTTATTGATTAGTCATTATCTCATACTTATTAGGTCATGCCAACTTCTGCCTCCTTTCTAACTTACAATTAATCATCCCTTCTTACACCTCACACTATGTAGAAGAATTTTCAACGACAAAGTTTACCAGTATCTGATTGGTCAAAAAACTTCTGTGTTAATTATAATTACGATTGTACAGCTCATGAAAATGAATCGTCGAAAAGAAATTTTTCTTCGCTGTTTGTGCCTTTTTCTTATGACTTACAACCAACAAAGATAAAACGGGGGGGGGGACTGAGAGACGGTTGACAGAGTCTTTAGAAGAAGTTTAAACAATAAAGCTATAATTCACTTGCCTTGTATGAAACACTAAAACCTCTAGGTACGGTGATACCCAGGTTGTACGGCTTACCAAAGATTCACAAAAACGACTTGCCACTTAGACCAGCCCCTGATATATCTAGCTCACCATATCATTCAACTGCGAAACGACTGGGGGATCTTTTACAGCCGTTGCTTAAGAAACTTGTAAAAAACAACGTAAAAGATAGTTTTGAGTTTGTAGAAAGATTCAAGGAATTAAATGTGTAGGACAAATATATGACAAGATATATCATTGGATGCATCTTCCTTATTCACCAATGTGCCTCTGATGGAAGTAATTGATTACGAATTGATGTAGCAAGGTATAGGGATTGGAATTCCTGTGTCTTCCCTGAAGGAACTTCTCTTAAGGTATACAATGCACGTTAAATTTCCTGTTCTATAAAGTTTATAGACAATCAGATGGTGTTGCCATGGGATCACCACCACACAATGAATTAAATGAAGCAACAAACAGCCAATGAAACTTATCGCGTGCTATTACACGTGTTCCGATTTCCTTCTTTCTTCCCTTCCCGATGTTAGTTAACGAATACTGTTTGAACTTGTTAAGCATGACTGTTTTCCTTCCAGATGAAGTTCTCTATCCGTTCTCTACTTATATATATATATCTTCTTTTTTTCTTTTGATCTAT